TTTAATCTGCTAGGAGGAAGAAACACCAGCACATGAACATATATTTACAAGAATAAGTGATATAGATGTAGACGATTTATCAAAAGACAACCCATTATACATTGGAATTATTGATCTTAGTTTGAATAAATATAATATTTCGGAAAGTAATTTCAAATCCCTCATTGTATGTATATAATATTTACATTTTCCATTTATGAAGGCCTATGTATAGATTTTGTATATAAAAAAAATATTTATTATAAATTAATCTTATTGCTATTTTCAAAATAGTTGAGAATAGTAAGCTTTACAAAAAAAATTTTTTTATGCAGTGTTGGGCTGGACATTGGACTTGGACATTGGACTACACTTGTCTAGTCCAGTCCAATCCATTGGACTAAAAAGTATTAGACAATAATATATAAATTAACATATAATCATTATTGGACATATTAAACTGGACATATGTTCAAGCCCAATGTCCAGTCCAGTCCAATAGCATAAAAATAGTTGGACATATATCCAGTGCCAACACTGACTGATTGATAATCGATTCTGATTTATATATATATTTGTATAATTGTTTTAATGTTTTAAACTAATTGGGTTTTCGGGTATTCACATAAAAAAAATTTTTTTTGTAAATCTTGCTATTCTTAACCATATTGAAAACAGCAATAATAGAGAGAAAAGACTAATATAAGAAATCTAAGTAAAGATATTATAGTAAAAAATATTGTTATAATTTTTTATTAAAAAGAAATATGATTCAAAATTCATAAAAATTTGTGTTAGCTTCTAGAGAAATTGTAATACATAATCAATGGGTCAAAGCTAATTATGCTAGAGGACATATAGCAAATGAAATTATTGATACTCTTTTATAGAAAATTAAGCTAGATGTGCTTCGAAGAGTTTCTGAGAGTTTAGAAAATATATTGGTAGAGATTATCTCTTGTCTATTAGATATAACTATGTATTACCTGCCCATGGATTTTGAAGTTGAAGTTACCAGGTCTGAATAGCAAAGTATAGCTAGTAAAAACTAGAGGATTCATCAAAAAACTTGATTGAGAAGCAATAAACTTGATATTATAATTCATATTTATTTTTATCAAAAATGAAAAAAAATTGTATTTTTTGAAGGTAGAAAATAGAGTGCTGGCGAAAATAAGATTCTTTACAATTATAATAAATCAACCCAATTCTGTATAGCTAGATCCAAAGAGCTTGTAAAAAAATATTCAAAGAAAATTTTTATAAAAATTATATAGGATTTTTTGTTAATATTACAGGTAAGTATCTTGAAATTCACAGATTGATAAGGAAAAAGAGAATAAATATTATCTCCCTATTATTAAAGCAAAAATACCTTTGTACAAAGAAACAGTTAAAGAAGTAGAAAAGTTCATTCATATTTTATTAGTTTTGCAAGTAAGTATTCTTTTAACTCATATATTTATTATATAATATTATTAATATAAAAGAAATTCATAATTTTTAGAATAAACTCATTGTAAATTTGTAGGTATTGTAAATAGTCAAAAAAGATTGAAAAAATAGTATTGTAAATTTACTTTATATAGAGTAGCAAGATTGTATATTTTATTTTTATTTTTTATATCAATAAAGCTAGTAGCTGATTTTGTATACATAATCTTGTTTATTTTTGCATGTATATTTCTGAGATTAATCTGATATATTATTATTATTAGTATATATGTTGTGTGTTAGATACATCCTTGTATCAGATCTAATCCGACTCATGTCAGATGCTGATTTTTATATGATGCATATCACCTGTCAATTGGTCATTTGACGTACATCAGTTGTAATCTG